TACCCTTTTTGCCTTTTTCTTTCTTTTCCATCTTCAAAAAACCCATCTTATCTGCTACACAAAAAGGCTTCTCACTAGGATACACATCAAGGGGTTCTAAACCATCGGGGTCACATACTCCTTCTTCAAGAGGGTATAATTTTCTGATACAATTAACAACTCTCTCAAATTCCGGGTGTGAGGTAGATGTAAATGCATTTGAAGAATCCCCCTGTCTCGCACGCAGATAACTAGTCACTTCCATATCGTTTTCCATGACCTTACATTCTAATTCGGCCATTTCAACCTCCTCTTGAAGTTCTAACATTTTAAGCTGTCCTTCTAACTCAAGTCTCTTTTCCAAATTCTTCTTCCTTAGTAATGCCCTTTCTAACCTCAATCTAGAAGTACTAAACTGAGATGAAGACTTACTATTAACACTAATATCATCACGTTTACCACTATTAACATCAGACATACCACAAACAGCTTTAGAAATTTTACCATCTATTTCGTCATTCTCCTTCGGCATTCTGGTTTCCATTTTATGCTTTTGTTTGAGATCGATTACCAAGCAAGTGTGAATAAATCCAAACGTATACGACCAATAATACCAAAAATTTAACGTAAAATATCTTGGAGCCAAATTGTTTCGAGGTACTCAATGTACAACAAAAGAAATATAATTGAAGAACATTTGCGAACTAATCCAAACGTATTCGACCAATGACAAAATTGAAGGACTCTTGGACCCAAATGTTCAAAAGTATCCAGTGTATGACCAAAGACCAGAATTGAAGAACCTTTTGGACCCAATTGTCCAAAAGTATCCAAAGACCAAAATTTAAAATAGAACTTCTGGAACCAAATATCCAAAAAATCCAATGTATGACAAATATATAATTGAACTTTTGGACCCAGTTGTCCAAAAGTATCCAACGACCAAAAATCCAGATTAGAACTTTGGACCCAATCGTCCAAAAGTATCCAATAACCAATATAAAATAGAATTTTTGGACCCAATTGTCCAAAAGTATCCAGCGTCCAAAAATTTAAAATAGAAGAACTTTTGTTACGTCCAGTTTCTTGCTCGTTGATCTCTAGAAGCACGGTTGTCGTTCTACTTGCAATTCACGATCCCCAAATATTTAACCAAAAAGGGAACTCCAAAGTCGATACCAAAGTTTATTCCAAATCACAAAATCGACCAAAATATGTTATTACAAATAGACGACCAATGTCGTTCTTCTATTTTAAAGATTCCTGGAGCAAAAACTGTGAACGAACAACCAAGAGAAACAAGAGTCCCAAAAATGGCCGAAATTAATAATTCAAACAAGTTCATAAGTTAAGTAAAACAAATATAACCAAAAAACAGTGAAATTAATGATATTTATATGGTTTTAGTCAGCCAAATGTCTTCATTCCTCCCGTAACAACTGGGTTTCAGGATAATCAGAGGTGACATGATTATAGAGTATAAGATATTGAGCACGCCAAACCATCCAGGAGTGAACATCTTACCGAATACCTGGGTTCTCGCACATTTTTTTATCAATAAGATTCGTTGCAAATCGGAATGCCCTCCCAGCCGAGGTGACTACAATGCCCAAACTAGATAGCGTTAGGCAGAGACTTGATAAACACGTACTCATATACGGATTATCGTTTCTCTCTTGGATAATCTGTACCTGATGCATGCCTTAGGACTTGCCAGTCGTTATTATTGCCATCTCCTCAGATAGCTAACTTAATCTATCTCGCGTATTATCTCTGTTTCCTCCCCCATGCTTACACTTCGGTCCTCTCGCACAATCCTCACTGTCGCTCGATAAAATAAATTATCCAATATTTACTTAGTCCAGAAATCTTACTATCATTAGCATTAAAATTATCTATTTATTATTCTCTACATTGCAACTAACTGATCTCCGGTCTGGTATTGTGATAGCTGCTGGTATCCAGAGGCCCTATTACCTTGAAATCACTGGACAAACTAAGTAACAAACAACTGTCAAATGACTAGAATTAGACAGTCAAGTTGCCAGACTCCTAACTCATTTGACACTACCAAACATCTAGAACCATACCGAACGAACAAGAATCGAGGGCAAAGAAATCATTTGCTCTATACTAGCTCGAGAAAATGATATTGAATATTGGAAATACTAAACAGCCTAGAGATTTCAAACGTTCAAGGTCTCTATAGCTAAAGAACGGGCTCCTTTGGAAGGACGTTAGGATTTTACCACGTCTTTCTACACTGTACGGTGACGTCAGTGTTTGCTTGATGGCTAAAAAACGTGGTAATTCTGCATCAAACTCTGTGAGAAAATGTATCATGTTCAAGTTTTTTTAAAGTGTTCGAATTATACATGTAGATAAGTAGGATGGATGTGCTCGCTTGTTTTTAGGTGTTTGTATTTGTAAAGCTTCTCTGTTATAAATGAAGTTTAATCATGTAGAAGCAATCACTGAACTTTTATTTATGGCTATCAGACTCACATTAATTTAAGTTGTATTGTGCATGTAACATATAGGCTCATATCTGTGTAATGGATCTAGCATATTAATTCAGTGATAGGTTTTCTACCTTTGGTAGATCCAGTCATTTATTTCGGATTTGGGTTATAGAGGCCTAAATGCAATTCGTTTGTTATCTCATCTTCTCAAATCGTATATTCGAAGTCACATCATTTCACTTACCGGTGATACCCTTATTATGTCTACTGTTCCTAGATTCACTATATAACTTTCATCTCACTGTAATAATATGGTATGAAGAAATAAAACAACATACATATGAACCAAGTCCTGAGTTGCATGTGACAGAATGATCTGTCTCATGCTGTCCTATTTTCGAGGCTGCAAGATATCACTTTCAGTTTGTAAAGGGTAGGACATTGGGTGGCCTGTATTAGTCTTGACAATATTCATCTCACTGACTCCGGCTGTCTCTTTAAAGGTTTGGCAAATGAAGCTTCGATCACGCGTTGCAGGTAACGAGTTCCGTTCGTTGACGATTCAATGGGAAAGTCGATAGTCAGCTAACAAGTGGTTTGTCCTGATTTTGTGAAAATTTTGAGTGTCTTCGTAAATTCTCTGTTTTGGAAGGCAAGAGGAATAAAGACATGTCAAACGCAAATTTATCGCTAAGTGATTTAATAACTGATTGTCACCTCTGGTGTTTCTGTGTCATAAGGGAACCAAGTTTAATTTAACCAATCTCTTTCCATACAGAAGCTTCGAGATGCCGAAAATCAACTTGATTGCGGTTCTTTGAATATTTCATGACCACTCGCAGCTTGCAATTAGTACTGAAGTTTAGAACAAGCCAGTACTGTTTACAAGGTCAAAAACGTCTCGGCACCAACATAGCTAGTGGCTCTGTGTATACAACATAGTGTTCTGAAACCTTTGGTGGCAATCGCACTACAATGTGCTGTAGTCTAGTGCTGTCCCATAGGTCATAGTGTGTTTGTATAACAGGTAGCTCAGTATTATTCACTATGCATGTATCTATCCCTTGGTCACCAATATGCATCCTGATGCACTTGGGAGCGTTTATCGGCAACTGTCAAATTCTGAACCATTCAGATCATGTTTGCAGGTCATTTTTGAAGCTGTAAAATATCATCGTTAAATTTACCGCCGTTCAAATCCTAATATGAAGCGAAGATACGAGACTAGAAAGGTCATTAACTTATAAGAGGAACAGTAATGGTACCGAAACTGTCAGTCAGTCAGTTAGTTAGTTACAACTTAGTACTTCGTACGTACGTACATAAGTTCAAGTTGCCATACCACATTAGCATAGAGACGCAATTGTCAATTCAAATCCCGTGTTATTAGAGGTAGTACAAGAATCAGCAGTAATCGGAGAGATTAGAGTTCGAAGACATTATTCATGAAGTAGAATCTAGTGAAATAAACTCTAAAAAAAGACGAAGGTGATGAGGGATTCAGAAGGTTACGATTTGACAGAACACAAACAATAAATACACGTGGCCATTGCAAACGGTTTTGAGCCACATAATTCCAGGTCTTCATTACTATCATCTCGTTGGTCCCCACCAGGTAGTCGACACCCACTAACATCACTCAGTCCACTTGTCAGTCAGTTCGTGTATTTCTAACATGTTTTGGTCTGGCCACCACTAGCTTTCTTCCAACCTATCCCTAAAGCTCAAAATATAGCTCGACGAGGCAGTCGGTGATTGGCCATACGTAACACACAACCCAACCACCTCAACCTATGAAGTCTCACTACTCTATCTATTGATCTTCCATCCCTACCTAGTACTCGTTTCCTAACAACAGCATTGCTTACTCGGTTGTCCCAGGATATACGAGCAATGCTTCGAAGACACCTATGATCGAAAACCAGTAACCTACGAATATCTTCTACTCTCACTGGCCATGTTTCACAGCCATAAATTAGGACGGAGCGAACTGCTGCATAGTACACTCGTCCTTTAGTTAACAAACGGATATCTCGCCTACGCCATAAGTGACGCAGGTTGGCAAAAGCTAATTGAGCCTTCTGTATCCGAGCTGAGATTTCGTCACACACACCAGGCCATCAGCACTGATGAGACTACCTAGATAAGTGAAGCGGTCTACACGTTCGACTACTTCACTCCCTATCACTAGTTCAGGTGCCGATGCAACCCAGTCTTGAAGCAGCATTTTGCATTTCAATGGGGAAAACCGCATCCCGAACATGCTTGCATTGTTGCTTAGGGTAGTCAGAAGACTCTGCATTTTGTCAGCATCTTCACCAAGTACGACTATGTCATCGGCATATTCTAAGTCGATAAGCGAGCCTCTTGGTAGAGGGTCTACTGAAAACTCAGATAAGGATAAGGTTATTACTGGGAGCATGTCTATGATAAAATTAAACAAGAATGGAGAGAGTGGATATCCCTGACGGACACCACTTGAATTAGAAAATTCCGATGACAGTTCGCCATAAGCTCTCACCCGACCTGTAGTGTTCGAGTAGAAACCCTCCATAAGGTTAGTGTAATTCTTTGGTACACCTTTTAATGACAAACACTGGAACAGAACTTCACGATCCACTGAGTCAAATGCCGCCTTCAGGTCCAGGAAAACAACTATTGTAGGACGCCTAAATGTGTGTCTGTGTTCGAGGACCTGTCGTAGTGTGAAGATGTGGTCTATACAGCCACGTCCAGGTCTGAAACCAGCCTGGTTTTGTCTAGTCTGCTCTTCACGAGCTCTAGTTAGACGTCTAAGTATAATCGGGGCTAAAAATTTAGAAACCATATTAGTTAGACTTATTCCCCTGTGATTGTCACAAGAGGACTTTTGTCTTTTCTTATAAATTGGGACAATCAGGGATTGAGACCAGTGGAGAAGAATTGTAGCTCAGGTGGATGATTGTGGTGGTGGTGGTGTTTGGTTCCCAGCTCAGAGAACCAAACACCACCACCACAATTGAGACCAGTCGGGTGGGATTACGCCCAGTTTCCAGATTCTACCTAAGATCTCAGTCAACGTAGCTGCTAAAACTGGACCACCATCCTTAAAAATCCCAGGGGTAAGCCTATCAGGACCTGCTGCTCTCTCGCTTCTGATTTCCTATAGCCTTTTCAACTTCATAAAGTTTCGGACGACTGACGTCGACTTGCCATTCAGGTTCACTGGAGATTGTGGGTAATCGAAGTTTGGGTGTAGGCCAGTTGAACTGATACCTAAAGTGTTCTGTCCATCGATCGAATCTCCTGGATTGAGAATGGATAACAAGACCATCCTTTTCCGAGATAGTCTCACTCACATTTGGGCTTCCTAATACCAGTTTCCTTGATGAATCTGAATAGTTGCCTACTGTTGCCTATCGCCTCTGCCCTTCACATCTCTCTCACTTTCGCCACCCACCACTGTTCTCGATCATCGTGTAGGCTTTTTATCAGCCTGCGCTTAATCTGACTCCGCTCCTCATCACACTCAGAGCCAGGTGGGATGAGTTCTCGAGCATCCACCAGTTCGGTAGATGCTACTGAGATCCACGGCTTCTTCCTAACCTTATGGTTTGCCTTACTAGCAGATATCACTGCCGTTTCCACAGCCTTTTTGATATCATTCCAACCTGCCTCCAGATAAGAATCACTTACATGGTGGCTGATGGCGATGTGATCTAGTTGGGTCCAACGTTGAGACGACTTTAGGGGTCTCCAGGTCAAAAGATGTTATTCCTTATGCCTAAAGTTAGTGTTTGCTAGGAATATGCGGTTATCTGAGCATAGTTGCAACAGACGGTCGCCATTGTCTGTTCTCTGAGCCTCGACACCACAACATCCACCCAGATGTCTTTCATTCTCACGTAGTCTACCTACTTGAGCATTAAAGTCACCAGCAGCGATTATTACTACATCAGAGCGCCTAGCCTTTTGGAAGAGGTCCTAAAGTTTTTTGCAGAACTCATCTTTCACCTCATCTGAACTGCAGTCACTGGGAGCGTAGGCAGATATGACGAAGAGGCAACGGCGTGTCCCTATCTTCCCGAGTCCTTACTGTCCCGTTTAGTCGGACAGCGCACAAGCGATTATCTATAGGGATCCAGTGGAGAGATAGTTCAGCCCTACGACTCAATGCTATACATACGCCGGCGAGGCCACGAGAAGCAGCATCATGGCTTCCAGATACACGAAGAGTAAATCGAGTTGATTCTTTATTTTAACAAGGTGACATCAGAATAAATCCTTATTCCAAACCAATGGTGTACATAAGTTCCGGAATACCGCCGAAACAAATGGCGTATCCACATACTTTGAGTCAGCATTTCCTGACATTACTGCACTGCCTTGTGGGTTGGATCTTTGTGTCAAAGGCTCGTGAATTGGTTGCCTAGGAAAACCATCTACTTCAGCTTGAGTACTCGGGCAGTATCCCATCCCTCAACTAACTCAGTGGTTTTTGTAGTGCATATGCATTTTGTCGCTCCTGTGTACTCATGTTTAGGCTATTCGTTAGTAAATAATAGTTTAAAGAACTTTGTCGTACGTTTAAATTTTAATGTAAGCGATATTGATTTTAGTCACACCTTACTCTCAGTCACCACTTCATACCTAGATGTATTTACCCCCAATATCAACTAATACCTTTATTTATTACTCTTCACTGAACTAAGCTTAAAAGAAATTACAAGAATCAATGATTTCATGCAAATTTGTGTTTGAAAAATTTCTGATTTGACAGGTTACATCGGAAATCCAGGTTAGTAGTAATGATAATCTGTTTTCAACGACTTCGAATCATTCCCGAAAACCATTTACAAAGACAGAAAGCCTTGCTCTACTGAATTATATTCAAGACAATAACTTACTGTCGTAAGTCTTCCTAATTTAACTTTCATGAGAAGCGGCAATGAGTTTTAAATTTTTTTAAACATTACCTTCATTGAATTACTTAGTCCTGTTGAAGTTAAAATTGCATAAACGTAGCTCAAATGAGTACAGTTTCGATTTTCTGCGTAGCCCTTTATTTTAGGTTGTTCGTGTTGTAATCTGATCGAGCTACTTTGGTGTGTAATTTTTTTCATAATACTAATGTGGTGCTGGATTATGTGACCCTAAAACGTTACAACGTCAAACTACTTAATACTAATGTGACAGACTGTACTGTAATATATGTACATACAATAAGATGTTGCATAAAAAGTGTATGTCTGCACTATTCTAACCGGTCTTGAGCCACCTTATGTTGCAAAATGTTTCGTCATCTCCTCAACTCGGAAACAGACCAAGAGTAACCGAAGATCTTTTATTGTTTAAAAATGTTTCTAAATGATCTTTCTGGTTGTTTTTGATAGATTTGTGCTTCATTTTATGATTAATTATAGTTTAAGCTTCATAAAAGAGAAGCTTACAAGTGTTTAATCTATACTAAGTAAATTATCTGATCCTCGCGTACAATGCCTTTTCGTGATTTTTCTGTCTTCATATTATTGTCCTGAAAATTAATTTCGATGTACCTTTAATGGGATATAAGTCAACAGTCATGTAGGATTAATCCCGTATGACTTTTTTATGTTAGTACATTTTACGTTCACTTCATGTTGTATAGTTTATTTAACTACACGATGTAATTTTTAGCGACATTTGTTCTAATTATTCCTCGTAAATTACGGGTAAAATTGAAAGATAAGTCAATACTTATTGGCGTCAATATACGGTTGATTAGGCTTTCAGCAGGACTGTTTGTTTTACGAAAGTCAAAGCATCGTAAAAAATTTCAGTTTTATTACTAGACTGTTATTAACCCGAGCTTTTTATTTCTTAGACCTCACATTTCATTTATCAGTCACGCACTATTTTAACGTTTTGCTTACCATTCAGATTGTTGAACAAACGCTCAACCTATGCTCATTTAGAAGCTGTTAAGATTTCACATCATTGTGCTGAAAGTATACGTAGTCATGTTCGACAAGTTTTACTTCCTACGTTCAAAAATCTTCAGAATCAAACAGGCAAAAACGTTCTAACTAAGACTATTACCGAAAGAAAGAGTGTACAAATTTCAGTGACAAAAATCAAACTTTGAGAAATGGTTTCTCTCGTGTCAAACGACAGCCATATACTTTGATGGATGATGAAGCAATAATCAAATATTTGTTGAAAAATAATCTATGGAGGTATGTGACATTTACTACTTGTTCCGTACTGTTTTGTACAGTCATAAACGCCGAATTTAAATGAATTCTTGAATTGTTGCCACTGTGTCTAAATACACACTTTCTGAACTAGGCACTACTAATGGGGTTTTCTCATTCCATATGAGCAGTCTTTCAATGACAGCTACGATCAAACAAAAAGTCGCCGAGAATTTTTATTTTTGAAAGACTGGATTTCACAAGTATGGTGCATAATTGATTTTACCGGCGCATTTTAAACCCCGACCTTTTACGGTCAGACTAACATCATGATGGTGACAATTAGTTTAAACCCTTCTTGCTTAGCTCATGTGAGGTGTCGTAAAAATATCTACAAAAGGTAAAGGGATTCTCCTAAACGTCCTAGAAAGCTCTTTTGCTGACGTTTAGTACCTTAAAAGTAGTAAACTAATTGCATGCAATGGTAATGAGCATTTTGGTGAAAAAATTTGTTAAACTATGTAGTGTTTCATCTCTTAGTTGTCATTTACATATTTAATATTTCAATCTAGACAAGTAAGAAGTCGCGCTTTATGGAAAGAGATGGCTAAGGAACGTGTAACTAATCATTCCTCAGAATCAATGCGGTCACGCTTCCGTCACCATTTAGTGAATTCAGTTTATGCTCATTTACTAAAAACACTCCCTAGAAATGAACAGACTGAACTTCACGATATCCTCTTTGGAAGGTCAAACAAATATTCCAATCCTATGCAGAAAGATAAATATGATGGTGTGCTCAGTGATGGTATATGTCATTCATCTTATTCGATTGATGAATGTAGTTTGGATTTGGATAAGCTTAACACATATGGAACAAATGTGCTTTTCAGTCCGTCACAAAAGAATCACTCAGACAGATCAACTAGTAACAAGGCTTCCCAGTCAAATATTGAGAGTGATAAATTCGTGAATGCACCACCAGATCTTACAAAAAGTAAGAAATTTTTCTACGTCTTTAAGTGTCGTCATTCAGGTTGTTTTTAGTCCTAATCACAAATCTATACACATGTAATAATAATTGATAAAATAATAGGAATAATCAAAAAGACACGTAGCATCACTCCACAAATTATTAAATTGTTTGTTACATCCATTTAGGAAATGATAATCTCGACTAGAACCTACTAGAAAATCGTAAGCTGTAGTTGGAGGTTGTTTTCTTAGATGCCGTCCTAGATATAACACTTTCTCCACCTAACTTTTCACAGGTTGTTCTACCACTTAACAGAATATACAGATGACTAAGTTCTATTTGGTGAAAACGCTTCAAAATAAACTCTTCTGAACGCCTTAAGAAACAGTGCTAGCATGTCTAGGATGCGATTTTCTCTCTCCAGATGCAAAATATGGCTTCTGGGCTGGTCTACCTCAATGCCTGAACTAATAATGGAGATCGAAGTAGTTGGACGCACTAATCACTTCATTTAAGTCTCACAACAGTAAGTGAGCTTCTTTCTGATGAAATCTCGTCACGGATTCATAAAATTGGATAGGTGTTTGTCGACTTGTGCCACTTGTAGTGTGAGATATCTGTTTGCCAAGGATGTTTATACTAAAAACAGTTGTCTTTGTGTTACTGTGTGACTGAAGTATGGTCCTCAAAAGTAGGAGATGTACTTGGGTTACAGGTCTCTAACCATAAATGTCTTCAAAGCACTACTAGCGTTTCATGGGACAACCGAGTGATCAATGTTATGGTTAAGCGTATGGCACTTTACAGAGGTGGCAAATTGACTGACGATATTATGAAATCTCACTGAGTGAAACAGCTAAGGCATGTTACGTATGCCTGATAACCGCCTACCTTTGTGGGTGATTTTTACTAGTGTTGGAATAGGCTGGAGGAAAGCTAAGCGCAGCCAAACCGAAAATGTGACATTAGTTCATGTAGTTAGTGCCTTTTGGTCTTATTCATAATGATTGGGGCAGATTGCTTGACTAGGATCCTCGCGAAAACCACAATCAATGGTTGGAGACCGGGAAACATAGCTCAGAATCTTCCTCAGTGACAAGGGTACATTTATGAATTATCTTCTTCCCTAATTTGAATTTTAGTATTCCTCCATATATTCATTTCATCCGTGTTAATTTTAAACTTTATTCTTAAAGCCTTTTTTCTCATTAACATTGGTATAATACCATCCCAATCTGTTTTTGTATCAAACATGTTAATTGCAGCATAGCAACCTAGTCTAACGCACAATTGTACCGTGCTCCATGTTATTAATAACTAACATCGATATTTGTTGAGTATGCTCTGGGCGCTTATCTATTTACTTAAATATTTATATATTTTCGATTTTACAGACCTTATCTATATGAATTGTTTTCCCTCCTTCCAGACTTGTAACTAATGCATCTCTCTATCCCTGCAAGTTACTTACTTACACCAGTTACTACCAAAAGGAGCATAGGCCGCCGACCAGCATTCTCCAACCTACTCTGTCAAGGGCCTTCGTTTCTAGTTATATCCAGTTGTTGTTCACTTTTCCCATGTCTTTCTATATTTTTCGGCGTAATGTGTTCCTTGTCCTTCCTCTTTTCCTTTTACTTTGAAGGTTCTAAGTGAGGGCTTGTCTTGTAACGCAGTTGGGTGCTTTCCTTGATATATGTTCTATCCACTTTCAGCGGTTCTTCTTTATTTCTTTCTTCTCTGGTATCTGGTGTGTTCTGTCCCACAGTAGGTTGTTGCTGATTTTGTATTTGTCGACAATTGTTCTGAGCTCCAGATGTCGTTCATTTGTAGAAATGCAGCCCTTGCTTTGCCGATCCGCGCCTTCACATCTGCATCAGACCCACCTTGCTCGCCAGTGATGCTGCTCTGAAATGTAAAGGTTTTAACGTGCTCCAAGACATTTCCATCAAGAGTGACTTAGTTGGCACATGTTGTGTTGTATCGTAGAATCTTGCTTTTCCCTTCATGTCTGAGGCTGCTGCTACACTGGTCGTCTTCTCTTGCATTTGTTGTTGCGTCTGCGATGGAAGAGCCATATCATCTGTGAAGTTTAGATTGTCCAGCTACATCCTAGTTGTCCATTGTATTCGGTGCTTCTCGTGAGATGTTGACGTCTGCATCATCCAGTCGATGACCAGGAGAAAGAAGAAGAGTGATAGTAAGCAACCTTGTCTGACACCGATCTTCTCTTCTAGCGAGTCTGTAGGCTGTCTTCCATTACGTAGCTCAAAACCGTTCACAATAGCGGACATGCATCCATCCTTTGTGTTCTCTCAAATCCTAATCTTCTGGATTCTACATCACATTTATCTTTTTCTTTTAAGTTTCTTCCATTAGATTATACTTCTTGAATAATATCTTCGAACTATAATCTCTCCGATTACTGCTAATACCACATCTACTACTATGGGATTTGAATTGACAATTGCGTCTCTGTGCTAATGTGTTATGATAACTTGAACTTATGTACGTACGTACGAAGTCCTAAGTTGTTACTGGCTGACCTCCATGCACGATTTTGCACTTGAATCCATCATAAGAATTCCGTATAATGTTGAATATTTTCTCAGGCACACCGTAGTGTCGAAGAAGCCTCCATAGTGTTGTTCTGTTCACGCTATCGAATGCTTTCTCGTAGTCAATGAAGTTGATGTAGAGTGGTGAGTTCCATTCGATTGATCGTTCCACAATGATCATTAATCTTGCAGTTTAGTTGGTACATGATCGATCCTTACTACGGAATCCAGCCTGTTGATCTCGAAGTTAGGCGTCTACGAAGTCCTTCATTCTATTTAAACACCCTGTTGAAGACTTGCTGATATTGAGAGAAGCGATTCCTCTCGTTCTGACACTTGCTGAGCTCTCCTTTCTTGGATGTCTTGATTAAGGGTCCTTCTTTCCAGTCTGTTGGTACTTGTTCTTCATTCCAAATCCTGCTGAAGAGGATGTGGAGTATCTTCGAAGTTAATGCTACGTCTGCTTCCAATGCCTATGCTGGAATGTTGGCTGGTCGTGTTGCTTTGCCGCTCTTGATTTTTCTGACGGCCATGCTGATCTCTTCGATGTATATGTGGAGTATTTTCTTCTTCGTTGCCCGGAGTATCACAGCAGCTCTCCTGAAGCTAGTCTTTGTTGTCCCACCTGTATCCAATCTATTTCACTGGTTCCAAGCACCTCCAAGTTGTATCTTTTCATTTCTGCAGCAAGTTGAATAGCTCTCCCAGTTTCCTACAGTGTACGAACATTTCCTAAAGTAATGTTTGCTCTGGATGTCAGAAGAGGCATTGGCCTTGTGACTTCCGTAGAAACTCGGCTTTCATCATGAGACGTCATAACTGTTCTAAATGAAGACCTAACTTCCAGAGCAGAGTTCAAGTGGTTTGAATTGATTTATCTGCTTAGCGTTTTTTAGCGAGTTAATTTTATACGGAATTGAGTCGCTAACCGCATGCCCAGCCCTCCTCTTTTATCTGGGCTTGGGGGCGGCAGTAGCCATAGAGCGTCTACAGGCTGAGTTATCCCTATAAGTGAAAGGTCTTATTTTAAATTTGCACTCGCTCACAGAGCCCCAAAAAGGTGGTGATCAAAACAGGTTACTATTTATAGCCAACGATCATATTCTATTAAACGTAATTTACTACAATTAATGCAAAAATGCTTATCAAATTCAATTACAAAGGGAACAATAAACCCATATCTACCAAATCGTACTATGGACAATAAAATAAATCAGTGAAAGGGTTAAGTATGTTTATATAAAGGGTTGGTGCAACTTCATGATTGGTAGATAAATAAAAATAATTATAATAACCAGTTTGAGATCAAATAAGCCATAAGCAGTGGGCGTTCAACACAAACATTATTGGTTGATTCACACTCATCGATCACGACCTACAGCCCTTAGTGTGCAATTTTCGAACATCGTGGCTTATTTACTCAGCTATTGTATTCTTGTGAGACTTCTGACTATTTGTCGAAATTTAGAATATCTACACAGTACTGTTATTCTTTTTACACCTCTTACGGATAAATGCGTTTCGTAAAGGCAACTGTAAAAATTGATATCACAAAGTATTTCATTAAAAACTCACATCACTTTTACTCATCCTCTTCACTCAGAAAAAGATACCTTGAAATCAAGCGAATTCGTGCATAATTTTTGTTTTTATTTCGATTTTTTTTCAGGCTCCAGTTTCTCGTCTCCCGACCAAATCCCTGTTTGTTTGTATGAAAGTCCTAAAAGATTTTGTAATAATTGCCCTTTACCACCACCAGTTGTAGCAGCAAACAAAAAGAAAACATCAGAATCAAATGATTTACCGAATGATTCAACGGGTCCTTCATCATCTAACCAATCTGTATTAGAATTGATACAGAGTACACCATGTGAAGATTCCAGTTCACCGTCTGTAAGTCTTAGTCTATGTGTCTAACCACTGTATGTGAAAAGTTCTGTTTGAGATACTTTATAACAATTAAGTAGTTATTAAAATTTTCTGCAAAAGTTGGTTTGTCACTTCATCCAAAACGTATGTTTCTAGTGCTGGTTGTGTGGTTCCATATTGATTATTAATATTGCTGCTCATAAAATACATAGCCTACTTAATTTTGTATATATACTGTCGACTTAACATGTTTAGGACGATGGTATAGCCAAAGTCGACTAAGAACCGTATGTCTGATGCGTTTGTTGACTAATGCTGAACATCAGGTAAGTGTATAAAAGACCCAGCGATTGTATAAAGCCGTGAAGTTCAGTAGTACACCGATTCAGAGAACGATAAGGTGACTCGGTTTTTATAAGTCATGTGAAGTATACAGAAAATGGATCAATCATCGGTTACACGTGAGTAATTGACAAGGTGATAGAATAAATGGAAAGTAGGATAATTCATCCATTTAAGAGTTAGAAGATGAAATCACATAGATTTGTAACAATGTTAATTGTTATACATTTTTCCTAACCAGTTTTTTCACTTCATTCCGCATATAAGTTAATAAGACAGCAGTTCAAAGTCATGACATCAATCACAAAAAATATGCTTTTCCAGAGTGTCATAGATTGCGATTCGCAATTGTTTAGGTGCATTTAACTTGGTCTAAGGTAAAACATAAAATAACTTTTCAATATGCAATATGAAAGTTATTACAAGGTTATAGTTAGTTTTATAAAGAACAATTTTAGTTGATTGTTTTTTCTACCACTTTTGTTTAGTCTTTTTCCTATTTTAATATTTCTTGATTTATCCAGTCTCTTACTTCCACTCTCTATAAATATGTCCATGTTTTCAATGATGGTTGATAGCTGTATTTATGTTGTACGTTTAAATGTCTTCATTTCGAACGAATAACTTTATGATGTTTTTTTTAGAATCTATCACTAGTGACAATGGATTCATCTCCATTCACTCCAATAAATTATCCGGTATGGGTTTCAAAGTTGATAAATTGCTCTAATTATCTAACAACGCCATTACAAGCTATATTGCTTGTTCATATGACAAATGGTTCCGTTGCAGAAGCGTACAACTTTCTGACCACCGGTAAACGTTGTCCATCATCAGCAACAAATTTTAGTCCACCTCTTTGGTTACCTGATGATGATGAATGTTTAGGTTCAACTGATAAAAATAAACTTGATGAACTTGTCAATCGTTTTGGTTGGGCAGAAATAGTTAAACGTGTTGGCTTTTTACAAAATAAAAATAATATTGATACTTCTGATGACATTTTTTGAAAATTTTATTTATTAGATTTTGTACATAATTATCGTCTAGATTTTATAAAAACTCTGTTGTTAATTTATTTTAGTACTGTGTTTTTTCATCTATTTCGCTGTATATTTAAACAAGATATTTTTTTCTGTTTATTTTTGTACATTTTCACCTGAGAGATTTCTAACAGTTAATTTTTTGTTTTAACTTATTTAGTTTACTGTTTGTTAAATCCTCAGAGTAAAATATCTTTTTATTTCTATGTATGTGTGTTTGTTTGCTATCAAATCATGTGTCATCTGTTTGACCAGAATCTGAATATTTACATCCTATTCATTTGGTGATAGGTTTGAATGCCATCCCATCCAGCTTCAGTTTTAGGAACCTGCTTATTATCTTTAACTTCCTCATAATAGAAGTAACGTAATAGGACATCCTATATTCGACCACTGAGTTGCATGAAATTAACGCTTTATCTCTTGATCTGGTGATAATTAGGTTGCCATTCGTGTAATTTTACAATTTTAAGTGATAGTTAAATGCATTTAAGTTAAGGATTATGACTTCGTCTAAGGATGGCATTCAAACGATGTATAGTGTTTATTCAGTTAAATCATGTAGACGTACTATGTTGATGTGTCTTCGTTGCATTACTTACTTACTTACTTACGCCTGTTACCCCCAATGGAGCATAGGCCGCTTACCAGTTTTCTCCAAACAACTTTGTCCTGGGCTTCCGTCTCCAGTTCTGTCCAATGTTTGTTCATTCCTCTCATATCTTTCTCTATTTCTCGGCGTAATGTGTTCCTTGACCTTCCTCTTTTCCTTTTGCCTTGAGGGTTCCATGTGGGGGCTTATGTCTTCGTTGCATAGTAAACATGAATTGTGTTCTTATAACCGAGGCATCGAATAGTTTCAAAACTTTATTTCGTAGTATCGCTAGATAATAGGTTTTCATTTGAAGGATTATTTGTGGAAAGATTGGTTCGTTACATTAAAAACAATTAACTTAATCACACATAACTTACAGGCGGTTTATTGTATATTGGGATTAATATAAATGTGCTTTATATTAGTTAACATTTGAAGAAAAACATATATAAGTACTTTCATTGCATCTTTATTATAGATTAGGGATAATAGATTCATCGAAATTCGTTTCAAAACCATGGCGTATTATATCGATATGTTTTATTGCCATATTTTTATGCATACTTAGAGTTGGATTTGAAAGGAATTATGAATTTCAATACTATTCATCCTAGTAACTTATAACTTTCGGATCAGATTCTACATTTATCGAGCTAGTCCTGTTAGTCTGATCTTTTGATAATCACAGTGATCTTATGCAGCTTACTGAGGCTGTTCTCCAACTTACGTTGTCAGATTAGAAGGTCGGTTTAAGTAGTTCTAGAAAGATTTTTAGTTTCTGAACATTCAAACTTATTGCTCGAAACCTTTCTGAGCATTTGGTTTTTCATTTTTGTTAATCCTACAGATATTTCATGTCTAACAATCTACTGACTCCTGTCCCTTCAGAACGACTTCTTGGACCTGGGTATGGACAAGGTGTATGGCCTTTGCGTGAACGTTTGGCACTTGCTACTGCTCTTTTGGATGTGGATAATCAGCAAGGAAGTTGGGCTGCCACTAGTCGTCGTATGATGTGTTTTTCTAGACCAGGTCGACCGTCTACATGGTGTTCATCTAAAGCTTGTGCCAAACAATATGCTCTACTTCTGGATTCCATTGAGTTAGTTAAGCGACAGAAGATGCCAGGAAGTGATTCTCAGTCAAGCCAGTTAAGTTTAGCTGAACGTGTTGTGAAACGATTAAGTGCTGAACGTGCAGAAGAGTTGAGATCGCGAATACAATGTGGTCAACGATACTACAGGTGTGCTTTATTCCATTTATATGTTTCAAATTAGTGTTTTATTTGTAATAGTTTAATCTTTCACCTTTCAACTTTCTATTTAGTCAAATTTAATTACACGTTTAAACTTCGTTTTCAAACGTTTACCATGTCTGTCAACGTACTAAAGTTGTTTTCTATACTCAACTTATCCTGTACTCTTTAGGCTGATTAGTCTAGTCGAGACACATCAGTGCATAAACTTATCAACGAATCTCTTTCCTCCTACTCTAATAATTAGAGTAGGAGGAAAGAGATTCGTTGATAAGTTTATGCACTGATGTGTCTCGACTAGACTAATCAGCCTAAAGAGTACAGGATAAGTTGAGTATAGAAAACAACTTTAGTACGTTGACAGACATGGTAAACGTTTGAAAACGAAGTTTAAACGTGTAATTAAATTTGACTAAATAGAAAGTTGAAAGGTGAAAGATTAAACTATTACAAATAAAACACTAATTTGAAACATATAAATGGAATAAAGCACACCTGTAGTATCGTTGACCACATTGTATTCGCGATCTCAACTCTTCTGCACGTTCAGCACTTAATCGTTTCACAACACGTTCAGCTAAACTTAACTGGCTTGACTGAGAATCACTTCCTGGCATCTTCTGTCGCTTAACTAACTCAATGGAATCCAGAAGTAGAGCATATTGTTTGGCACAAGCTTTAGATGAACACCATGTAGACGGTCGACCTGGTCTAGAAAAACACATCATACGACGACTAGTGGCAGCCCAACTTCCTTGCTGATTATCCACATCCAAAAGAGCAGTAGCAAGTGCCAAACGTTCACGCAAAGGCCATACACCTTGTCCATACCCAGGTCCAAGAAGTCGTTCTGAAGGGACAGGAGTCAGTAGATTGTTAGACATGAAATATCTGTAGGATTAACAAAAATGAAAAACCAAATGCTCAGAAAGGTTTCGAGCAATAAGTTTGAATGTTCAGAAACTAAAAATCTTTCTAGAACTACTTAAACCGACCTTCTAATCTGACAACGTAAGTTGGAGAACAGCCTCAGTAAGCTGCATAAGATCACTGTGATTATCAAAAGATCAGACTAACAGGACTAGCTCGATAAATGTAGAATCTGATCCGAAAGTTATAAGTTACTAGGATGAATAGTATTGAAATTCATAATTCCTTTCAAATCCAACTCTAAGTATGCATAAAAATATGGCAATAAAACATATCGATATAATACGCCATGGTTTTGAAACGAATTTCGATGAATCTATTATCCCTAATCTATAATAAAGATGCAATGAAAGTACTTATATATGTTTTTCTTCAAATGTTAACTAATATAAAGCACATTTATATTAATCCCAATATACAATAAACCGCCTGTAAGTTATGTGTGATTAAGTTAATTGTTTTTAATGTAACGAACCAATCTTTCCACAAATAATCCTTCAAATGAAAACCTATTATCTAGCGATACTACGAAATAAAGTTTTGAAACTATTCGATGCCTCGGTTATAAGAACACAATTCATGTTTACTATGCAACGAAGACATAAGCCCCCACATGGAATCCTCAAGGCAAAAGGAAAAGAGGAAGGTCAAGGAACATATTACGCCGAGAAATAGAGAAAGATATGAGAGGAATGAACAAACATTGGACAGAACTGGAGACGGAAGCCCAGTACAGAGTTGTTTGGCTAAAACTGGTGAGTGGCCTATGCTCCATTGGGGGTAACAGGCGTAAGTAAGTAAGTAAGTAATGCAACGAAGACACATCAACATAGTACGTCTACATGATTTAACTGAATAAACACTATACATCGTTTGAATGCCATCCTTAGACGAAGTCATAATCCTTAACTTAAATGCATTTAACTATCACTTAAAATTGTAAAATTACACGAATGGCAACCTAATTATCACCAGATCAAGAGATAAAGCGTTAATTTCATGCAACTCAGTGGTCGAATATAGGATGTCCTATTACGTTACTTCTATTATGAGGAAGTTAAAGATAATAAGCAGGTTCCTAAAACTGAAGCTGGATGGGATGGCATTCAAACCTATCACCAAATGAATAGGATGTAAATATTCAGATTCTGGTCAAACAGATGACACATGATTTGATAGCAAACAAACACACATACATAGAAATAAAAAGATATTTTACTCTGAGGATTTAACAAACAGTAAACTAAATAAGTTAAAACAAAAAATTAACTGTTAGAAATCTCTCAGGTGAAAATGTACAAAAATAAACAGAAAAAAATATCTTGTTTAAATATACAGCGAAATAGATGAAAAAACACAGTACTAAAATAAATTAACAACAGAGTTTTTATAAAATCTAGACGATAATTATGTACAAAATCTAATAAATAAAATTTTCAAAAAATGTCATCAGAAGTATCAATATTATTTTTATTTTGTAAAAAGCCAACACGTTTAACTATTTCTGCCCAACCAAAACGATTGACAAGTTCATCAAGTTTATTTTTATCAGTTGAACCTAAACATTCATCATCATCAGGTAACCAAAGAGGTGGACTAAAATTTGTTGCTGATGATGGACAACGTTTACCGGTGGTCAGAAAGTTGTACGCTTCTGCAACGGAACCATTTGTCATATGAACAAGCAATATAGCTTGTAATGGCGTTGTTAGATAATTAGAGCAATTTATCAACTTTGAAACCCATACCGGATAATTTATTGGAGTGAATGGAGATGAATCCATTGTCACTAGTGATAGATTCTAAAAAAAACATCATAAAGTTATTCGTTCGAAATGAAGACATTTAAACGTACAACATAAATACAGCTATCAACCATCATTGAAAACATGGACATATTTATAGAGAGTGGAAGTAAGAGACTGGATAAATCAAGAAATATTAAAATAGGAAAAAGACTAAACAAAAGTGGTAGAAAAAACAATCAACTAAAATTGTTCTTTATAAAACTAACTATAACCTTGTAATAACTTTCATATTGCATATTGAAAAGTTATTTTATGTTTTACCTTAGACCAAGTTAAATGCACCTAAACAATTGCGAATCGCAATCTATGACACTCTGGAAAAGCATATTTTTTGTGATTGATGTCATGACTTTGAACTGCTGTCTTATTAACTTATATGCGGAATGAAGTGAAAAAACTGGTTAGGAAAAATGTATAACAATTAACATTGTTACAAATCTATGTGATTTCATCTTCTAACTCTTAAATGGATGAATTATCCTACTTTCCATTTATTCTATCACCTTGTCAATTACTCACGTGTAACCGATGATTGATCCATTTTCTGTATACTTCACATGACTTATAAAAACCGAGTCACCTTATCGTTCTCTGAATCGGTGTACTACTGAACTTCACGGCTTTATACAATCGCTGGGTCTTTTATACACTTACCTGATGTTCAGCATTAGTCAACAAACGCATCAGACATACGGTTCTTAGTCGACTTTGGCTATACCATCGTCCTAAACATGTTAAGTCGACAGTATATATACAAAATTAAGTAGGCTATGTATTTTATGAGCAGCAATATTAATAATCAATATGGAACCACACAACCAGCACTAGAAACATACGTTTTGGATGAAGTGACAAACCAACTTTTGCAGAAAATTTTAATAACTACTTAATTGTTATAAAGTATCTCAAACAGAACTTTTCACATACAGTGGTTAGACACATAGACTAAGACTTACAGACGGTGAACTGGAATCTTCACATGGTGTACTCTGTATCAATTCTAATACAGATTGGTTAGATGATGAAGGACCCGTTGAATCATTCGGTAAATCATTTGATTCTGATGTTTTCTTTTTGTTTGCTGCTACAACTGGTGGTGGTAAAGGGCAATTATTACAAAATCTTTTAGGACTTTCATACAAACAAACAGGGATTTGGTCGGGAGACGAGAAACTGGAGCCTGAAAAAAAATCGAAATAAAAACAAAAATTATGCACGAATTCGCTTGATTTCAAGGTATCTTTTTCTGAGTGAAGAGGATGAGTAAAAGTGATGTGAGTTTTTAATGAAATACTTTGTGATATCAATTTTTACAGTTGCCTTTACGAAACGCATTTATCCGTAAGAGGTGTAAAAAGAATAACAGTACTGTGTAGATATTCTAAATTTCGACAAATAGTCAGAAGTCTCACAAGAATACAATAGCTGAGTAAATAAGCCACGATGTTCGAAAATTGCACACTAAGGGCTGTAGGTCGTGATCGATGAGTGTGAATCAACCAATAATGTTTGTGTTGAACGCCCACTGCTTATGGCTTATTTGATCTCAAACTGGTTATTATAATTATTTTTATTTATCTACCAATCATGAAGTTGCACCAACCCTTTATATAAACATACTTAACCCTTTCACTGATTTATTTTATTGTCCATAGTACGATTTGGTAGATATGGGTTTATTGTTCCCTTTGTAATTGAATTTGATAAGCATTTTTGCATTAATTGTAGTAAATTACGTTTAATAGAATATGATCGTTGGCTATAAATAGTAACCTGTTTTGATCACCACCTTTTTGGGGCTCTGTGAGCGAGTGCAAATTTAAAATAAGACCTTTCACTTATAGGGATAACTCAGCCTGTAGACGCTCTATGGCTACTGCCGCCCCCAAGCCCAGATAAAAGAGGAGGGCTGGGCATGCGGTTAGCGACTCAATTCCGTATAAAATTAACTCGCTAAAAAACGCTAAGCAGATAAATCAATTCAAACCACTTGAACTCTGCTCTGGAAGTTAGGTCTTCATTTAGAACAGTTATGACGTCTCATGATGAAAGCCGAGTTTCTACGGAAGTCACAAGGCCAATGCCTCTTCTGACATCCAGAGCAAACATTACTTTAGGAAATGTTCGTACACTGTAGGAAACTGGGAGAGCTATTCAACTTGCTGCAGAAATGAAAAGATACAACTTGGAGGTGCTTGGAACCAGTGAAATAGATTGGATACAGGTGGGACAACAAAGACTAGCTTCAGGAGAGCTGCTGTGATACTCCGGGCAACGAAGAAGAAAATACTCCACATATACATCGAAGAGATCAGCATGGCCGTCAGAAAAATCAAGAGCGGCAAAGCAACACGACCAGCCAACATTCCAGCATAGGCATTGGAAGCAGACGTAGCATTAACTTCGAAGATACTCCACATCCTCTTCAGCAGGATTTGGAATGAAGAACAAGTACCAACAGACTGGAAAGAAGGACCCTTAATCAAGACATCCAAGAAAGGAGAGCTCAGCAAGTGTCAGAACGAGAGGAATCGCTTCTCTCAATATCAGCAAGTCTTCAACAGGGTGTTTAAATAGAATGAAGGACTTCGTAGACGCCTAACTTCGAGATCAACAGGCTGGATTCCGTAGTAAGGATCGATCATGTACCAACTAAACTGCAAGATTAATGATCATTGTGGAACGATCAATCGAATGGAACTCACCACTCTACATCAACTTCATTGACTACGAGAAAGCATTCGATAGCGTGAACAGAACAACACTATGGAGGCTTCTTCGACACTACGGTGTGCCTGAGAAAATATTCAACATTATACGGAATTCTTATGATGGATTCAAGTGCAAAATCGTGCATGGAGGTCAGCCAGTAACAACTTAGGACTTCGTACGTACGTACATAAGTTCAAGTTATCATAACACATTAGCACAGAGACGCAATTGTCAATTCAAATCCCATAGTAGTAGATGTGGTATTAGCAGTAATCGGAGAGATTATAGTTCGAAGATATTATTCAAGAAGTATAATCTAATGGAAGAAACTTAAAAGAAAAAGATAAATGTGATGTAGAATCCAGAAGATTAGGATTTGAGAGAACACAAAGGATGGATGCATGTCCGCTATTGTGAACGGTTTTGAGCTACGTAATGGAAGACAGCCTACAGACTCGCTAGAAGAGAAGATCGGTGTCAGACAAGGTTGCTTACTATCACTCTTCTTCTTTCTCCTGGTCATCGACTGGATGATGCAGACGTCAACATCTCACGAGAAGCACCGAATACAATGGACAACTAGGATGTAGCTGGACAATCTAAACTTCACAGATGATATGGCTCTTCCATCGCAGACGCAACAACAAATGCAAGAGAAGACGACCAGTGTAGCAGCAGCCTCAGACATGAAGGGAAAAGCAAGATTCTACGATACAACACAACATGTGCCAACTAAGTCACTCTTGATGGAAATGTCTTGGAGCACGTTAAAACCTTTACATTTCAGAGCAGCATCACTGGCGAGCAAGGTGGGTCTGATGCAGATGTGAAGGCGCGGATCGGCAAAGCAAGGGCTGCATTTCTACAAATGAACGACATCTGGAGCTCAGAACAATTGTCGACAAATACAAAATCAGCAACAACCTACTGTGGGACAGAACACACCAGATACCAGAGAAGAAAGAAATAAAGAAGAACCGCTGAAAGTGGATAGAACATATATCAAGGAAAGCACCCAACTGCGTTACAAGACAAGCCCTCACTTAGAACCTTCAAAGTAAAAGGAAAAGAGGAAGGACAAGGAACACATTACGCCGAAAAATATAGAAAGACATGGGAAAAGTGAACAACAACTGGATATAACTAGAAACGAAGGCCCTTGACAGAGTAGGTTGGAGAATGCTGGTCGGCGGCCTATGCTCCTTTTGGTAGTAACTGGTGTAAGTAAGTAACTTGCAGGGATAGAGAGATGCATTAGTTACAAGTCTGGAAGGAGGGAAAACAATTCATATAGATAAGGTCTGTAAAATCGAAAATATATAAATATTTAAGTAAATAGATAAGCGCCCAGAGCATACTCAACAAATATCGATGTTAGTTATTAATAACATGGAGCACGGTACAATTGTGCGTTAGACTAGGTTGCTATGCTGCAATTAACATGTTTGATACAAAAACAGATTGGGATGGTATTATACCAATGTTAATGAGAAAAAAGGCTTTAAGAATAAAGTTTAAAATTAACACGGATGAAATGAATATATGGAGGAATACTAAAATTCAAATTAGGGAAGAAGATAATTCATAAATGTACCCTTGTCACTGAGGAAGATTCTGAGCTATGTTTCCCGGTCTCCAACCATTGATTGTGGTTTTCGCGAGGATCCTAGTCAAGCAATCTGCCCCAATCATTATGAATAAGACCAAAAGGCACTAACTACATGAACTAATGTCACATTTTCGGTTTGGCTGCGCTTAGCTTTCCTCCAGCCTATTCCAACACTAGTAAAAATCACCCACAAAGGTAGGCGGTTATCAGGCATACGTAACATGCCTTAGCTGTTTCACTCAGTGAGATTTCATAATATCGTCAGTCAATTTGCCACCTCTGTAAAGTGCCATACGCTTAACCATAACATTGATCACTCGGTTGTCCCATGAAACGCTAGTAGTGCTTTGAAGACATTTATGGTTAGAGACCTGTAACCCAAGTACATCTCCTACTTTTGAGGACCATACTTCAGTCACACAGTAACACAAAGACAACTGTTTTTAGTATAAACATCCTTGGCAAACAGATATCTCACACTACAAGTGGCACAAGTCGACAAACACCTATCCAATTTTATGAATCCGTGACGAGATTTCATCAGAAAGAAGCTCACTTACTGTTGTGAGACTTAAATGAAGTGATTAGTGCGTCCAACTACTTCGATCTCCATTATTAGTTCAGGCATTGAGGTAGACCAGCCCAGAAGCCATATTTTGCATCTGGAGAGAGAAAATCGCATCCTAGACATGCTAGCACTGTTTCTTAAGGCGTTCAGAAGAGTTTATTTTGAAGCGTTTTCACCAAATAGAACTTAGTCATCTGTATATTCTGTTAAGTGGTAGAACAACCTGTGAAAAGTTAGGTGGAGAAAGTGTTATATCTAGGACGGCATCTAAGAAAACAACCTCCAACTACAGCTTACGATTTTCTAGTAGGTTCTAGTCGAGATTATCATTTCCTAAATGGATGTAACAAACAATTTAATAATTTGTGGAGTGATGCTACGTGTCTTTTTGATTATTCCTATTATTTTATCAATTATTATTACATGTGTATAGATTTGTGATTAGGACTAAAAACAACCTGAATGACGACACTTAAAGACGTAGAAAAATTTCTTACTTTTTGTAAGATCTGGTGGTGCATTCACGAATTTATCACTCTCAATATTTGACTGGGAAGCCTTGTTACTAGTTGATCTGTCTGAGTGATTCTTTTGTGACGGACTGAAAAGCACATTTGTTCCATATGTGTTAAGCTTATCCAAATCCAAACTACATTCATCAATCGAATAAGATGAATGACATATACCATCACTGAGCACACCATCATATTTATCTTTCTGCATAGGATTGGAATATTTGTTTGACCTTCCAAAGAGGATATCGTGAAGTTCAGTCTGTTCATTTCTAGGGAGTGTTTTTAGTAAATGAGCATAAACTGAATTCACTAAATGGTGACGGAAGCGTGACCGCATTGATTCTGAGGAATGATTAGTTACACGTTCCTTAGCCATCTCTTTCCATAAAGCGCGACTTCTTACTTGTCTAGATTGAAATATTAAATATGTAAATGACAACTAAGAGATGAAACACTACATAGTTTAACAAATTTTTTCACCAAAATGCTCATTACCATTGCATGCAATTAGTTTACTACTTTTAAGGTACTAAACGTCAGCAAAAGAGCTTTCTAGGACGTTTAGGAGAATCCCTTTACCTTTTGTAGATATTTTTACGACACCTCACATGAGCTAAGCAAGAAGGGTTTAAACTAATTGTCACCATCATGATGTTAGTCTGACCGTAAAAGGTCGGGGTTTAAAATGCGCCGGTAAAATCAATTATGCACCATACTTGTGAAATCCAGTCTTTCAAAAATAAAAATTCTCGGCGACTTTTTGTTTGATCGTAGCTGTCATTGAAAGACTGCTCATATGGAATGAGAAAACCCCATTAGTAGTGCCTAGTTCAGAAAGTGTGTATTTAGACACAGTGGCAACAATTCAAGAATTCATTTAAATTCGGCGTTTATGACTGTACAAAACAGTACGGAACAAGTAGTAAATGTCACATACCTCCATAGATTATTTTTCAACAAATATTTGATTATTGCTTCATCATCCATCAAAGTATATGGCTGTCGTTTGACACGAGAGAAACCATTTCTCAAAGTTTGATTTTTGTCACTGAAATTTGTACACTCATTCTTTTCGGTAATAGTCTTAGTTAGAACGTTTTTGCCTGTTTGATTCTGAAGATTTTTGAACGTAGGAAGTAAAACTTGTCGAACATGACTACGTATACTTTCAGCACAATGATGTGAAATCTTAACAGCTTCTAAATGAGCATAGGTTGAGCGTTTGTTCAACAATCTGAATGGTAAGCAAAACGTTAAAATAGTGCGTGACTGATAAATGAAATGTGAGGTCTAAGAAATAAAAAGCTCGGGTTAATAACAGTCTAGTAATAAAACTGAAATTTTTTACGATGCTTTGACTTTCGTAAAACAAACAGTCCTGCTGAAAGCCTAATCAACCGTATATTGACGCCAATAAGTATTGACTTATCTTTCAATTTTACCCGTAATTTACGAGGAATAATTAGAACAAATGTCGCTAAAAATTACATCGTGTAGTTAAATAAACTATACAACATGAAGTGAACGTAAAATGTACTAACATAAAAAAGTCATACGGGATTAATCCTACATGACTGTTGACTTATATCCCATTAAAGGTACATCGAAATTAATTTTCAGGACAATAATATGAAGACAGAAAAATCACGAAAAGGCATTGTACGCGAGGATCAGATAATTTACTTAGTATAGATTAAACACTTGTAAGCTTCTCTTTTATGAAGCTTAAACTATAATTAATCATAAAATGAAGCACAAATCTATCAAAAACAACCAGAAAGATCATTTAGAAACATTTTTAAACAATAAAAGATCTTCGGTTACTCTTGGTCTGTTTCCGAGTTGAGGAGATGACGAAACATTTTGCAACATAAGGTGGCTCAAGACCGGTTAGAATAGTGCAGACATACACTTTTTATGCAACATCTTATTGTATGTACATATATTACAGTACAGTCTGTCACATTAGTATTAAGTAGTTTGACGTTGTAACGTTTTAGGGTCACATAATCCAGCACCACATTAGTATTATGAAAAAAATTACACACCAAAGTAGCTCGATCAGATTACAACACGAACAACCTAAAATAAAGGGCTACGCAGAAAATCGAAACTGTACTCATTTGAGCTACGTTTATGCAATTTTAACTTCAACAGGACTAAGTAATTCAATGAAGGTAATGTTTAAAAAAATTTAAAACTCATTGCCGCTTCTCATGAAAGTTAAATTAGGAAGACTTACGACAGTAAGTTATTGTCTTGAATATAATTCAGTAGAGCAAGGCTTTCTGTCTTTGTAAATGGTTTTCGGGAATGATTCGAAGTCGTTGAAAACAGATTATCATTACTACTAACCTGGATTTCCGATGTAACCTGTCAAATCAGAAATTTTTCAAACACAAATTTGCATGAAATCATTGATTCTTGTAATTTCTTTTAAGCTTAGTTCAGTGAAGAGTAATAAATAAAGGTATTAGTTGATATTGGGGGTAAATACATCTAGGTATGAAGTGGTGACTGAGAGTAAGGTGTGACTAAAATCAATATCGCTTACATTAAAATTTAAACGTACGACAAAGTTCTTTAAACTATTATTTACTAACGAATAGCCTAAACATGAGTACACAGGAGCGACAAAATGCATATGCACTACAAAAACCACTGAGTTAGTTGAGGGATGGGATACTGCCCGAGTACTCAAGCTGAAGTAGATGGTTTTCCTAGGCAACCAATTCACGAGCCTTTGACACAAAGATCCAACCCACAAGGCAGTGCAGTAATGTCAGGAAATGCTGACTCAAAGTATGTGGATACGCCATTTGTTTCGGCGGTATTCCGGAACTTATGTACACCATTGGTTTGGAATAAGGATTTATTCTGATGTCACCTTGTTAAAATAAAGAATCAACTCGATTTACTCTTCGTGTATCTGGAAGCCATGATGCTGCTTCTCGTGGCCTCGCCGGCGTATGTATAGCATTGAGTCGTAGGGCTGAACTATCTCTCCACTGGATCCCTATAGATAATCGCTTGTGCGCTGTCCGACTAAACGGGACAGTAAGGACTCGGGAAGATAGGGACACGCCGTTGCCTCTTCGTCATATCTGCCTACGCTCCCAGTGACTGCAGTTCAGATGAGGTGAAAGATGAGTTCTGCAAAAAACTTTAGGACCTCTTCCAAAAGGCTAGGCGCTCTGATGTAGTAATAATCGCTGCTGGTGACTTTAATGCTCAAGTAGGTAGACTACGTGAGAATGAAAGACATCTGGGTGGATGTTGTGGTGTCGAGGCTCAGAGAACAGACAATGGCGACCGTCTGTTGCAACTATGCTCAGATAACCGCATATTCCTAGCAAACACTAACTTTAGGCATAAGGAATAACATCTTTTGACCTGGAGACCCCTAAAGTCGTCTCAACGTTGGACCCAACTAGATCACATCGCCATCAGCCACCATGTAAGTGATTCTTATCTGGAGGCAGGTTGGAATGATATCAAAAAGGCTGTGGAAACGGCAGTGATATCTGCTAGTAAGGCAAACCATAAGGTTAGGAAGAAGCCGTGGATCTCAGTAGCATCTACCGAACTGGTGGATGCTCGAGAACTCATCCCACCTGGCTCTGAGTGTGATGAGGAGCGGAGTCAGATTAAGCGCAGGCTGATAAAAAGCCTACACGATGATCGAGAACAGTGGTGGGTGGCGAAAGTGAGAGAGATGTGAAGGGCAGAGGCGATAGGCAACAGTAGGCAACTATTCAGATTCATCAAGGAAACTGGTATTAGGAAGCCCAAATGTGAGTGAGACTATCTCGGAAAAGGATGGTCTTGTTATCCATTCTCAATCCAGGAGATTCGATCGATGGACAGAACACTTTAGGTATCAGTTCAACTGGCCTACACCCAAACTTCGATTACCCACAATCTCCAGTGAACCTGAATGGCAAGTCGACGTCAGTCGTCCGAAACTTTATGAAGTTGAAAAGGCTATAGGAAATCAGAAGCGAGAGAGCAGCAGGTCCTGATAGGCTTACCCCTGGGATTTTTAAGGATGGTGGTCCAGTTTTAGCAGCTACGTTGACTGAGATCTTAGGTAGAATCTGGAAACTGGGCGTAATCCCACCCGACTGGTCTCAATTGTGGTGGTGGTGTTTGGTTCTCTGAGCTGGGAACCAAACACCACCACCACCACAATCATCCACCTGAGCTACAATTCTTCTCCACTGGTCTCAATCCCTGATTGTCCCAATTTATACGAAAGACAAAAGTCTTCTTGTGAAAATCACAGGGGAATAAGTCTAACTAATATGGTGTCTAAATTTTTACCCTCAATTATCTTTAGGCGCCCAATTAGAGCTCATGAAGAGCAGACTAGAGAAAACCAGGCTGGATTCATACCTGGACCTGGCTGTATTGATCACATCTTCACACTACATCAGGTCAAGGAACACAGACACACATTTAGGCGCCCGACAATAGTTACCTTAAGGCGGTATTTGACTCAGTGGATCGTGAGGTTCTGTGGCAGTGTCTGTCATTGAAAGGTGTACCAATGAAGTACAATAACCTCATGCAAGCTCTCTACTCAAACACCACTTGTCGGGTGAGAACCTATGGCGAACTGTCATCGGAATTCTTTACTTCAAGTGGTGTCCGTCAGGGATGTCCACTCTCTCCATTCTTGTTTAATTTTATCATAGACATGCTCCCAGTAATAACCTTATCCTTATCTGAGTTTTCAGTAGACCCTCTACCAAGAGGCTCGCTTATCGACTTAGAATATGCCGATGACATAGTCGTACTTGGTGAAGATGCTGACAAAATGCAGAGTCTTCTGACTACCCTAAGCAACAATGCAAGCATGTTCGGGATGCGGTTTTCCCCATTGAAATGCAAAATGCTGCTTCAAGACTGGGTTGCATCGGCACCTGAACTAGTGATAGGGAGTGAAGTAGTCGAACGTGTAGACCGCTTCACTTATCTAGGTAGTCTCATCAGTGCTGATGGCCTGGTGTGTGTGACGAAATCTCAGCTCGGATACAGAAGGCTCAATTAGCTTTTGCCAACCTGCGTCACTTATGGCGTAGGCGAGATATCCGTTTGTTAACTAAAGGACGAGTGTACTATGCAGCAGTTCGCTCCGTCCTAATTTATGGCTGTGAAACATGGCCAGTGAGAGTAGAAGATATTCGTAGGTTACTGGTTTTCGATCATAGGTGTCTTCGAAGCATTGCTCGTATATCCTGGGACAACCGAGTAAGCAATGATGTTGTTAGGAAACGAGTAATAGGAAGGGAATGGAGATCAATAGATAGAGTAGTGAGACTTCATAGGATGAGGTGGTTGGGTTGTGTGTTACGTATGGCCAATCACCGACTGCCTCGTCGAGCTATATTTTGAGCTTTAGGGATAGGTTGGTAGAAAGCTAGTGGTGGCCAGACCAAAACATATTAGAAATACACGAACTGACTGACAAGTGGACTGAGTGATGTTAGTGGGTGTCGACTACCTGGTGGGGACCAACGAGATGATAGTAATGAAGACCTGGAATTATGTGGCTCAAAACCGTTTGCAATGGCCACGTGTATTTATTGTTTGTGTTCTGTCAAATCGTAACCTTCTGAATCCCTCATCACCTTCGTCTTTTTTTAGAGTTTATTTCACTAGATTCTACTTCATGAATAATGTCTTCGAACTCTAATCTCTCCGATTACTGCTGATTCTTGTACTACCTCTAATAACACGGGATTTGAATTGACAATTGCGTCTCTATGCTAATGTGGTATGGCAACTTGAACTTATGTACGTACGTACGAAGTACTAAGTTGTAACTAACTAACTGACTGACTGACAGTTTCGGTACCATTACTGTTCCTCTTATAAGTTAATGACCTTTCTAGTCTCGTATCTTCGCTTCATATTAGGATTTGAACGGCGGTAAATTTAACGATGATATTTTACAGCTTCAAAAATGACCTGCAAACATGATCTGAATGGTTCAGAATTTGACAGTTGCCGATAAACGCTCCCAAGTGCATCAGGATGCATATTGGTGACCAAGGGATAGATACATGCATAGTGAATAATACTGAGCTACCTGTTATACAAACACACTATGACCTATGGGACAGCACTAGACTACAGCACATTGTAGTGCGATTGCCACCAAAGGTTTCAGAACACTATGTTGTATACACAGAGCCACTAGCTATGTTGGTGCCGAGACGTTTTTGACCTTGTAAACAGTACTGGCTTGTTCTAAACTTCAGTACTAATTGCAAGCTGCGAGTGGTCATGAAATATTCAAAGAACCGCAATCAAGTTGATTTTCGGCATCTCGAAGCTTCTGTATGGAAAGAGATTGGTTAAATTAAACTTGGTTCCCTTATGACACAGAAACACCAGAGGTGACAATCAGTTATTAAATCACTTAGCGATAAATTTGCGTTTGACATGTCTTTATTCCTCTTGCCTTCCAAAACAGAGAATTTACGAAGACACTCAAAATTTTCACAAAATCAGGACAAACCACTTGTTAGCTGACTATCGACTTTCCCATTGAATCGTCAACGAACGGAACTCGTTACCTGCAACGCGTGATCGAAGCTTCATTTGCCAAACCTTTAAAGAGACAGCCGGAGTCAGTGAGATGAATATTGTCAAGACTAATACAGGCCACCCAATGTCCTACCCTTTACAAACTGAAAGTGATATCTTGCAGCCTCGAAAATAGGACAGCATGAGACAGATCATTCTGTCACATGCAACTCAGGACTTGGTTCATATGTATGTTGTTTTATTTCTTCATACCATATTATTACAGTGAGATGAAAGTTATATAGTGAATCTAGGAACAGTAGACATAATAAGGGTATCACCGGTAAGTGAAATGATGTGACTTCGAATATACGATTTGAGAAGATGAGATAACAAACGAATTGCATTTAGGCCTCTATAACCCAAATCCGAAATAAATGACTGGATCTACCAAAGGTAGAAAACCTATCACTGAATTAATATGCTAGATCCATTACACAGATATGAGCCTATATGTTACATGCACAATACAACTTAAATTAATGTGAGTCTGATAGCCATAAATAAAAGTTCAGTGATTGCTTCTACATGATTAAACTTCATTTATAACAGAGAAGCTTTACAAATACAAACACCTAAAAACAAGCGAGCACATCCATCCTACTTATCTACATGTATAATTCGAACACTTTAAAAAAACTTGAACATGATACATTTTCTCACAGAGTTTGATGCAGAATTACCACGTTTTTTAGCCATCAAGCAAACACTGACGTCACCGTACAGTGTAGAAAGACGTGGTAAAATCCTAACGTCCTTCCAAAGGAGCCCGTTCTTTAGCTATAGAGACCTTGAACGTTTGAAATCTCTAGGCTGTTTAGTATTTCCAATATTCAATATCATTTTCTCGAGCTAGTATAGAGCAAATGATTTCTTTGCCCTCGATTCTTGTTCGTTCGGTATGGTTCTAGATGTTTGGTAGTGTCAAATGAGTTAGGAGTCTGGCAACTTGACTGTCTAATTCTAGTCATTTGACAGTTGTTTGTTACTTAGTTTGTCCAGTGATTTCAAGGTAATAGGGCCTCTGGATACCAGCAGCTATCACAATACCAGACCGGAGATCAGTTAGTTGCAATGTAGAGAATAATAAATAGATAATTTTAATGCTAATGATAGTAAGATTTCTGGACTAAGTAAATATTGGATAATTTATTTTATCGAGCGACAGTGAGGATTGTGCGAGAGGACCGAAGTGTAAGCATGGGGGAGGAAACAGAGATAATACGCGAGATAGATTAAGTTAGCTATCTGAGGAGATGGCAATAATAACGACTGGCAAGTCCTAAGGCATGCATCAGGTACAGATTATCCAAGAGAGAAACGATAATCCGTATATGAGTACGTGTTTATCAAGTCTCTGCCTAACGCTATCTAGTTTGGGCATTGTAGTCACCTCGGCTGGGAGGGCATTCCGATTTGCAACGAATCTTATTGATAAAAAAATGTGCGAGAACCCAGGTATTCGGTAAGATGTTCACTCCTGGATGGTTTGGCGTGCTCAATATCTTATACTCTATAATCATGTCACCTCTGATTATCCTGAAACCCAGTTGTTACGGGAGGAATGAAGACATTTGGCTGACTAAAACCATATAAATATCATTAATTTCACTGTTTTTTGGTTATATTTGTTTTACTTAACTTATGAACTTGTTTGAATTATTAATTTCGGCCATTTTTGGGACTCTTGTTTCTCTTGGTTGTTCGTTCACAGTTTTTGCTCCAGGAATCTTTAAAATAGAAGAACGACATTGGTCGTCTATTTGTAATAACATATTTTGGTCGATTTTGTGATTTGGAATAAACTTTGGTATCGACTTTGGAGTTCCCTTTTTGGTTAAATATTTGGGGATCGTGAATTGCAAGTAGAACGACAACCGTGCTTCTAGAGATCAACGAGCAAGAAACTGGACGTAACAAAAGTTCTTCTATTTTAAATTTTTGGACGCTGGATACTTTTGGACAATTGGGTCCAAAAATTCTATTTTATATTGGTTATTGGATACTTTTGGACGATTGGGTCCAAAGTTCTAATCTGGATTTTTGGTCGTTGGATACTTTTGGACAACTGGGTCCAAAAGTTCAATTATATATTTGTCATACATTGGATTTTTTGGATATTTGGTTCCAGAAGTTCTATTTTAAATTTTGGTCTTTGGATACTTTTGGACAATTGGGTCCAAAAGGTTCTTCAATTCTGGTCTTTGGTCATACACTGGATACTTTTGAACATTTGGGTCCAAGAGTCCTTCAATTTTGTCATTGGTCGAATACGTTTGGATTAGTTCGCAAATGTTCTTCAATTATATTTCTTTTGTTGTACATTGAGTACCTCGAAACAATTTGGCTCCAAGATATTTTACGTTAAATTTTTGGTATTATTGGTCGTATACGTTTGGATTTATTCACACTTGCTTGGTAATCGATCTCAAACAAAAGCATAAAATGGAAACCAGAATGCCGAAGGAGAATGACGAAATAGATGGTAAAATTTCTAAAGCTGTTTGTGGTATGTCTGATGTTAATAGTGGTAAACGTGATGATATTAGTGTTAATAGTAAGTCTTCATCTCAGTTTAGTACTTCTAGATTGAGGTTAGAAAGGGCATTACTAAGGAAGAAGAATTTGGAAAAGAGACTTGAGTTAGAAGGACAGCTTAAAATGTTAGAAC